TATCTGTAGATAACTATGGAGAGCGATTTATCTTTTTTTTTCCCCCTTCAAGATAATATAGACAATATCGCATGATCATTTAGTAGTTTTAATCATTATTTTTTTCTCCTTTTTATATGTATAAAAGAAAATTAAATGGAGCTGTTTGAAAGTTCTGGGGTATTTTTATGGACTTGGGAAGTCTACAGGTTTAAGTAATCTTAAACCAATATTGTTTTTAAAAAAAGTATACAGCCAAAAAACATTTTAAATTTGAAAATCGATCCATAACCAATTACTTAATGATTCAATATATGTAATTTTTAGCAAATTCGATTTTGGTATAAAAAATGATTTATTTATTAAATTAAATTGCTTGATTTTCTGTGTATACGAAGCATCATAGTTGTTTAAATTTCTCAATTAATGGATTATATATTATTTATAATATTTCATATTATATTCAAGGTTATTAAATCTATAAATGTTATTAACCAGTAAATTTTTTAATTGTTTTATTTGGGTTTTTTGAAGTTTTGAGTGGATTTGGAATCCAGGACCGACTCTAAGTCTGGCAAGTCCCCTGATTTAGACGATTAATTTCTACAATAACGACGATAATATGACAAATCAATATAAGTAAATTTTCAAAATAAAAATCTTAGTTTTGCACATGGTTCTGAGTAAAATGTATTTTTAATTTCGAAAGATAACCATTATTTATATCAGGTTAAGCTACAGTTTGATTGAGTTGGGCCAGTAAAGTAAGAAGGGTGAAACTTTTCAAATATTTTCTTTTCAGATTGAATATAAAGTTAATTGAGATAGAATAAAGTTTAAAAGCTTAAAAACGTTAAATATGGTCATATTCTGTATGTTTAAATGATCAAAATGGTTTATAACCATCAAAATTATATATAGACCATGTTTTGTTTTTTTTGCTTTAAGTTCCTATCATGGGAATATTTAGTTCTTCACCATTTTCACCATAATATATGTAGAATATAATTAATTACTAATTAACAGAAAATGATCTAAGAGGAGGTTAATGCTGCTTCTTGATACTTATGAGTCTTAAAGGTGGTCGGGCCACTGAGTTGCAAGATTGGAAATTAAAGTTCCAAATTTAATTGAGCCGGGCGGACGAATAAATTGAACATAAAATAATGACATTCAAATGTATGCATGCGTTTCAAACTGGAATGTGGGTCTGAATGTATGCCAGGCGTGGAGATAAACCACAGGAACCTCATGCCATGATTTTAATTTCAGACATATCGCATATCATATTCATTCTCATGCTATATTCTCCCTATCGACTTTTAATTTAGTTTTAGTGAAATTATTTACGTTATTACAGGCGGAAAACAAAATGTTCTTTTGACAATTTTGATACGTGTTAATGGAGTTTAGACCAAATTATTATGGAGCAAGATCCACTATGGAAATTACATACCATGATTCTGATCTGGAATATAACACATATTTGTTTATCCCCCCCAAATGGATTTTTTTAATTAAAATTATTTACGTTATTACACAAGCAAAAAAAAGTGATTTTTACAATTATGATACTTGTTAGTAAAGCTTGAAGCCTGAAGTTAAATAAGACTGTGAAAGCAGGAACAATTTTTTGAAATTTTTTGATTATTTTCATTCACATTTTTACATATTTTTACTGACATTATTTATATTATTGAAAAGGATTCGATATTTTGTGATATCAAGAATGTAAAAAAATGATATATGATATTCGATTCCATTCAGTGAAGGTTGAAGTTTGGAAGCTAGAAAGTTTGAACTTCTTTTTTGTTTTCTGATTAAAATAAAATTGCATTATTTTATTTTTAAATCAAAATAATAATAAAAAATGTTAATTAATTAATACGTGCAATGTTTCAAAGTGGAATGCCGTTCCAAATCTATGGGCAAAGTCCACCTACCATGCAAAACATTTGATTTGGAATATACCATTTTTTTTTTTTGTTTTTTTTTGTATTTATAATGTAATGAGTGCGAAATGTTATGAAATTTATGTGCATTTACCATGATTTTAATTTTTTTAAATCATTTTCATAAAAAAATTCGTTTATTTTTATTATTATTTTTCATGCTGTTAAAAAGAATTAAGATATTTTGTGATATCAAGAATGTGAAAAAAGACCTTTAAAAGTGGAGCTATTTTTTCTTTCAGAATAAAATAAACGAATCCAAGAAAGTCGAGATAATAACATTAAATTAATATGTATGCATACCATGATTTTCATTTTGTTTTTGTTATTTTTTCATCCAAATGTTCGTTTATTTTTACTATTATTTTTCATGTTGTTGAAAAGAATTAGATATTTTGTGATATCAAGAATGTGTAAAAAAAGACCCTTAAAAGTGGGAACTATTTTTTCTTTTAGAATAAAATAAACGAATCCAAGTAAGTCGAGATAATAATAACATTAAATTAACATATATGTATACCATGATTTTCATTTTCTTGTTATTTTTTCATTAAATTTTCGTTTATTTTTATTATTATTTTTCATGTTGTTAAAAGAATTAGATATTTTATGATATCAGGAATGAAAAAAAAAGTTCGGGGTTTGTGATGATAAGAAAGTCCCTTAAAAGTGGGATCCTTTTTTTGGGGCGCAAAGTCCACCATGGGAAATATATGATTTTGATTTTTTTTAAATTCAAATTTCCGCTTTGTTGTACTATCATTTCTTCTTTTATTGAAAAGAATTGGATATTGTGAGATAGAAAGAATGTAAAAACAAGGAAATGTTCTATACGAATCAGCGAAGCTCGAAGTTTGGAAGGCAAGGAAGTCCCTGGGAAGTTGTAACAATCTTTTTTTGCAGATTAAAATAAATGAATCCAATTAATTCGAAAAGATGTTTCAATGTGGATTGTCGTTCCAAATTTATGAGGCAAGATTTTCCATGGAAACAGCATTCCATGTATTTTGATTTCGAACAAACCATTTGTTTATATTCCCCCCCCCCAATTGTATTTAAAAAAATGAAATATATAAAAATTACGTTTTTACACAAACAGAAAAAGGGTGATTTTGGTAAGTGCTAGAGGAACTTGAAATCTGTAACTTAGCAAATCCCTGAAAGTTGGAACAATTTATTTTTAATTCTTAAATTAAAATACAAAGTCATCAATTAATCGAAACAAGAATAAATTGATAAAAAACTATTAATTTATATTTAGTTGTATTTTATGGGGAAAAATCCACCATGGACTCCAGCCATGATTTTGACTTATTTTTCTTATATTAATTCGAATTTTCGCTTAGTTTTATATCAATTTTTATGTTACTGGAAAGAATTAGATATTTTGCGATATGCAGAATGGAAAAAAAACGAAATGTGTCAATTGACTGTCAACTACGAGTCAGTAAAGGTTGAGCTTTAAAGTGTGAAGTCCCAGTAAAGTTTAAAAAATTTTTTTTTGCTTTCAGATTAAACCACAAAACGCCAATTAAGATAAAATAGTAATGAACTGTGTAATTACATATTTATCCATGTTTCAAAATATGTCGATCTAAATTTATGACAGATTTGTAGACAGCCATGGAGCCACATACCATGATTTTGATTTGTTTGGTTTTTTTATCGAAAATTTCGCTTATTTTTATTACGCTTGTTTATGTTATTACATACAATTACATATTTTGCTTCATCGGGAATGTAATAAAATTAAAAAGTGACAATTCGAATACGAGTCAGTGAAGTTTTAAGTTTGGAAAGTGTGAAGCTAAAAAGTTTAAATTTTTTTTCCTTTCAGATTAAAACAAAAAAGTCAATTAAGTCAGAAATGTAATATTTAAATGTATTTACACAGTAATAAACTGTGTAAATATATATATATATCCATGTTTCAAAATTTTTCGATCCAAATTTATGACAGATTTGTAGACAGCCATGGAGCTACCCACATACCATGATTTTGATTTGTTTTTTGTTTTTTTATAATGTAAAATTTCGCTTATTTTTATTACCCTTCTTTACATACAATTACATAGTTCTGTGCCATCGGGAATGTAATAAGAGGAAAAATGACAATTCGAATATGAAACAGTGAGAAATTTTAAGTTTGGAGTGTGGGAAGCTAAAAAAGTTACAAAAAAGTTCTTTTTCCTTTCAGATTAAAACAAAACAAACTGAATTAAATCAAGAATAAATTATATTATTACATATATATGCATGCATTTCAAAATATGTTCGCCTAAATTTTGGCCAGATTTGAAGAGAACCATGGAACCACCATGATTTTCATTTCAAACACACCAATCTGTTTCTATTCGTTATTCAAAATTTCAATTAATTATTATTATTATTTATTTTATTTACGTTGTCGGTAAGATGATAGAAAGGTGTTTTTTGACAATTTCGTTACGCGTCAGTAGTGTTTTAAGCCTGAAACGTGGGAAGCAGGGAAAATTATTTCCCCCATTAGATTAAAAATAAAATCTAACGATTTATGTCGACACGAGCATAGATTCCATAAATAATATTTGAACAAATCTAAATGCTTCCGATGGAATATCGATCGAAATTTATGGCAGGTATGTAGGATAACCATAGTAACCATCTCTATCGATTTTTTGGCATACGAATTTTTTATTATATATATATTTTTTTAATTTGCATTTTTTTACATATATTTATTTACAATATTGCGAAGGGAATGGGGGAAAAAAAGGAACGGTTCTTTTTGACAATTTCGTTACGCGTCAGTGGTGCTGGCAGCCTGAAACGTGGGAAATCCCTGGAAAGTTACTGTTATATTCACCTCTCGTCATTAAAATGGAATGTTAATTTTATAAGAATTAATTAAAAATTAATTAATCGTGTTTGAAAGAAAGAAATATTTCGGTATGAGTAAATTATCAAAATGGAGGTTAAAATTTCTTGTTAAAATGGCGGTACGATTGCCATGGAAACAAGTTATATATAAGTTGTTTTTATGATTTTTTATGGGTTTTTTGTAATAGAAATAATAAATAATGTACTTACACTGATGTGTTTGATAAGATAGTCTAAGAGTGCTTGTTTTTTTTGGCACTTCTGCTCGTCGGCGCAAACCCCGATGTTGAGACCCATGATGATGGTCCTCATGAGCCCGCCTTCCCATGCGTCCCAGATCCACTTGGGAGTGTAGCAGAGTATCGCTTGGAAGAAGAGCACGAAGCAGACCCACTGATAGTACGTGTAATACTTCTTCGCCTCGTTTCCGTAATCGTTGCTCACCCCAGGATGGGCGACTTCGACGCCGACCTGCCTCCTGAAGGCGTCGGGCATTGTGAAAGTGGACGTGATCCAGCAGTAGGTGTTGATCGGATTCGCCGGAAGACCGTTCACTATGCACTGGATCGGATTGCCGACGTACTGGGTCGCCGTGACTATGAGGGAACATGCGAGGAGCAAAACCGTCGTGAAGAGGTTGTGGAGCCGGAATACGGCATTGTCCGTCACTATGGGCTGCCATTTCAAATAATCCTTCAAACCTCCAAGAAGACGCAACATCCTGGACGACTGTGAAGTTCTCTCCTACGTTTCTCGAAGTATCGAATCGACTGGGTTCACCAGAATCCCCACTCCGCTATCCTTAGTTTTCCATCCCCTCTCATGGAGGACAATGTTCCGCTCGCCCCCACTACAGGATCGTCCTTAGGGGCTTAGAGCTTTCATCCTTTGTCGCCCACGGCTAACTTAACCGACGAAATAAAACGAACTTTTTCCCTTCGGGATGAAATTTAATTAAATCCATAGGAAAATCGTCAAACACCACCTTTGTGCCAGGACGAAGGTCCTGACGTGAAGATCCTCGTCGGCTAAGCGCACGCCCGATCCTCTCAATCCAACAAAGCACCGTGAAACTTCTCTTCACGAACACCTTTAAAAAGCCTACACTTCTCTTGAAGTCTGATACTCCAACGTCTTCACATTAAAAGCTTCAATTATTTCTTGAAGTAATGAGGAGTGGCCAGGAATGACAGAAAAACATCTTTTTCATTTTTTGAAAATTTCGACCTTTATTCGTGCCAGGTTCTGGGCCTGTGTGAATATTGTGAATTACAAAATATATTTTTATTGGAAAAAAATAATTACACAATCAGATGTAAATAAAAATTGTGAACCTTTTATATTTAAATCTTAAATTGTATTTTTTACAATCAACGTGTGTTTTGTAATTCACCCAGGCCCTAAAGATGGCAAGAATAAAGGTCAAAACGTCGGCAAAAAAATGAAAAAGGTGTTTTCCTAAAATACCTCATTGTTGACCGCTCCTCACGAATCCAACAAAAAGTTAGTAGTATAAGTTTTGAAGTATTTCATACTCACATAAAGTGTGGTGTTATTCTTGCGGTCATGTTTGTTTTGTGTGAAATTGTGAAAGGTGAATTTGTCGAACCACAAATGCAATTCTGAAAATCTCCACTCTCGACTTCCTTTGAGTAAAAAAAACCGCCGCGTTCTCTCCCCTGTCACAATTATATAAAAACAGCAAAATACAAATTCTCATTTCACCACAATGTCACACGTAACGAACACGACACCACAAGAATAGCACCACACTTTATGTGAGTATGAAATACTTCAAAACTTATACTACTAACTTTTTGTTGGTTTCGTGGTGACGTTTTGACCTTTATTCGTGCCATCTTTAGGGCCTGGGTGAATTACAAAACACACACGTTGATAGTAAAAAATACAATTTAAGATTTAAATATAAATTTTGAACCAGATATTTCATACTCACATAAAGTGTGGTGTTAATCTTGTCGTATGTTTGTTTTGTGAAATTGTGAAACGTGAATTTGTCGAATCACAAATGCAATTCTGAAAATCTCCACTCTTGACTTCCTTTGAGTAAAAAAAACCCGCCTATGATAATTGTTTTTAGATTTACAGCGTTCTCCACCCTGTCACAAAATTATAACAGCAGAATACAAATTCACATTTCACAACATTGTCACACAAACGAACACGACACCACAAGAATAGGACCACACTTTATGTGAGTATGAAATAATTGGTTCAATATTTATATTTAAAACTGTATTTTTTTTCTTTTTTTTTTGCAATCAACGCATGTTTTGTAATTAACCCACGCCCTGACGATAACACGAATAAATGTCGAAACATCGACAAAAAATATGAAAAAGGTGTTTTGCTGGCCTACATCATTGTTGAATCCAACAAAAAATTAATACTATAAATTTTGAACCAGATATTTCATACTCACATAAAGTGTGGTGTTATTTTTGTGGTGTTATGTTTGTTTGGTGTGAAATGTAAATTTGTCGAATCACAAGTCCAATTCAGAAAACTTTCACTCTCTACTTCCTTTGAGTAAAATAAAACCGCCTATGATTAAAAAAAAAATCAGATTTAACGCGTTCTCGACCCTGTCACAATCATATAAAAAGAGCAGAATACAAATTATATGTGGTTTTATTTGACTCAAATGAAGTCGAGGATGGAGATTTTCTGAATTGGATTTGTGATCCGACAAACTCATTTTTCACACAAAACAAACATGACACCACAAGAATAGCACACTTTAGATGAGTATGAAATATATCCTTCTTCTCAGATAGGTCATTGACTGTTGCAGCTACATTTTTGTTCCCTTGTGTTTTTGTTTTTCTTTTGAATCCTATGTTATGTCTCTGCTGCTTCACATTCGAAGATGATATGGGTGGCTGTTCCTTTCTCCTCATTCCATAATCTCCAAATGGGATCATAGTTAAATATGCCCATCTTGTGTACATGTTTTCTCAGATACCATTGACCAACGGTAGTCCTATCTCATAGTTCAGCCCTCTCAAACTAGCATCTATTTGTCAGATGTGGTGAGGGTCGTTTTAACATAAACTTACTGTTTCTAGCACTTTATTTAGATAGTAGTAATAGATTTAGATTTATCCTCTTCTTTTTTTTGGATCCATTCTGTGATAGAAGTTTCTATGTGTGTTTTTGTTATCCCAAGAATAGGTTCAAGGCATATGGTCTTTGTGTCTTGGCACCCAAGATATCATGTTGTTATAACCTAGTTTTTGTAGATTTTGGATGCTTTCACTCACTAATTTTCATGTGATTTTTTTAAAACATGTTAATGCTTTGGCTAACCGACCTTATGAGGATTTAGCTAAATTAACAAAACAATGCAATTGATTGGGTTGGTTTTCATTGCCCCAGTAGTGGATATTTTACCATTCTTTGTATGCTGCCTAATGTTTAGCTAGTTTGTATTTGCTGAGCTTTGGTCCACCAGAGAGCCGTAGGATACTTTTGGTCTTATTACTGCAGTTTATGGACAATGGGTCGTTTTCGGTTTTAATCCCCAAGATCCGCCTAGAGTTCTTCTTGTGATAATTTTTCTTTTTGTTACGATGTGCTGCAAGTGTGCTGCATAACCCATTATAACTTCTTTCAATTAATTAATCTTTATGTAAGGTATTGGTTAAAATAAAAAAAAGTTAGTGTCACGAGAGGGATTCGAACCCACTACCTTCGGCTAAATGCGCCACCCGAATTCACGATAGCTCAAGTGGTAGAGCAGCGGCGCATTTAGCCGAAGGTCGTGGGTTCGAATCCCGCTCGTAACACTAGCTTTTTCATTTTAACCAATACCTTACATAAAGATACATAAAGTTATTTCGTATAATTGAAAGAAATCTGCATAACCTTTGGAGTAGATTACGCTTTCTTTTAGTTTGCTTATGAAGTCGTTTGGGCTTATTGTAGTTCTTTTGTTTAATTCATTTGACTTGATTCTTAAGTAGGTCATTGTCTGTCAACTGACCCTAAGTTGAGCTATACTGAGCTGCTCATATTTTGAGCTTGTATAAAAACGAAACGGGTTCATATATTATCTGTATATCATACCATTGTATCTGATTTCCTCCTGAACTCTTCTCCTTATTAGTCTGTTGAGACCATAGCATGTTGTAAAATTGCCTGTGTTTCAGGGATCATGTAGTCAGTTTCAATTTCAAATAATGGGTTCTGATTTTATTATTTGTTCTGTGCTCGACGTGTTTAGTTTATATGCACTTTTATTGTACCTGGAGCCTAAATGGTTTACCAGTGTTTCTATTATAATTGTCGGTTGTTGATCCAATTGTGTGGAAGGTTAAGAAAGGTGAAAAACCGAGAGAAAAAAATATTGTGGGAGTTTTATGGGCCGATAAACAGCTGTCATCGCCAGCCCCCTGCGTATTTTCCTTTTTTTCCTGGTTTTTCACGCGTATTTTGTTTTAAACTGCAGCTATTTGAATGTTTCGATCCGTTATTGACTCTCTGCTTTATATGAAAACTTCGATATCTTAAACTACTAACCTCTCAATTGTACCTCAGGTTGTCAACTGCAGATTAGATATAAAACATACAATACATAAATCACCACAAAGTCATAAGTCTCGTCCTCCCCAGAGTACTCGATATTACTCGGGGCAAGGTTGGGCCCCACTCCATTCTCGCTAATAAATTACTTTTATTCTCCAGACGTCACACACTCATCCCGGGCTACTCCTTTCATGCTAATAAATTACATAGATTTATTTTTCGCAATAATTTATATGTAGGGTTTTTTTAGGGTGAAGTTAACAATATAAAATTTGTTTCTTGATTTTAAAAAAAAGTTTTGTAACCTACAAAGTCAACAAGACGACAAAACCTAATTAAACTTCAAATAATAAAGCATATTCAAGCACAAAATAAAATTATATCATCTTTGTCGAGAACAACTCCAGAACAAACCCTCCTAAGCTTCTGATTTGTTTTTTTTTTCTTTTTTTCTTTTTGACCTATTGAGAAACACGGCCAGCAACCCGACTGTCTTTCATTTGTAAGATTTGATCGTTACAGTGAATCATGTCTGCTTCTCATTTACATACTAACAACCAGTGATATGTGGAGATCGCCTTCTGTTGATTAACAATTTCCTTTTCAATTAACCTGTTGAGAAAAAAAAATAAACCAAGATTTCCGACTTGATAATAATTTATAATTATTATTTTTTATATTGTTAATCTTGTCGAAAAGGATTTTATACGATTAAAAAGGCGTTAAGGTCCTTGGAAGTAAAAAAGAACACCGGGAACTTTTTATGTTTTTCATTGTTATTCTATAGTTTTTATTTAGTGGCCGTTAATCGATATTTGTTTAGAAATCGTGAGATGCGGTCTGGTGTGATGTAGGTTTAAGAAAAACATTTCCTTTATCGTGCTAACGTTTCGATCTTTATTGAGATCATCTTCAGGGCCTGTGATTTACATTGTTTACATATTACAATTACATTTTGGATGTGGAAAAGTGAATTTATACAACGCAAAATATATTTTATATATTCAATCAAAGTATTTCTGTTTTATTTTATTGCAATATTATTCCGTAGTACTACTAGTAATAAATTCCCCCCCCCCAGAAACACGTGGGGTGGTGTAGGTCAGGGGACAACACGTGGATGTGCGCAGAAGGGGGCAGGGTTCGTTGACTCGATCCCTCCCCTCGATTTTGGTCGACAAAACCCTTCGAAAAATCATGTAATTTAAGGTGAAAAAAATGAGAATTTAACC